GGCGGCAGGGGTGAGGGGGGCAGGCAGGGCACAGGGCCTTCCGGTGCCTGGGGGTGGGGGCGGTTGGTCGAGGCCCGTGCGGTGGTCTGGAAACGGGGCCTGGAGGAGAGGTTTGCTCTTGTTGGGGGCACTGTGTGCTTTGTGCTGGGCTGGGAGGTGCTTGGGTAGCAGTGAGGGTCGGGGTAGGGTTGCCTTTGGCTGCTCCGGTGCCTTTCTGTTCCTGGAAAGGGGAACTGTGGCTTCTCTACATTAACTCATTTTTTTTTTAACAGGTATTTCATCAGTGTTTGCATTCTCTGACTAGCTAGAAGTTCCTTCCCATCAGAAGCACTGTGTGCTTTGTGCTGGGCTGGGAGGTGCTTGGGTAGCAGTGAGGGTCGGGGTAGGGTTGCCTTTGGCTGCTCCGGTGCCTTTCTGTTCCTGGAAAGGGGAACTGTGGCTTCTCTACATTAACTCATTTTTTTTTTAACAGGTATTTCATCAGTGTTTGCATTCTCTGACTAGCTAGAAGTTCCTTCCCATCAGAACCTTTTGTATAACAAAACTGTACAGGGAGCTCTAAATTAATGTTGTTAATAATGAGGGTGACATAAAAGTAAAATGGAGCACCATATTCAGTGTTGTCACAAAAAAGCTAAGGTAGTTTGTCTAGCAGTTGCAGAAGCATATTTGTCAGCACAGGGAGCAGAATCTAAGTTCCCTCAATAGAAGTGACTAAGAAGTAGCCCATCGGTAATTTTCCCCTGAGTTGTTCTTTTCCTTCTATTCCATTCTGGCTCTAATACTGTTTGCATTTGGGTTTGGATGCAATAGAACATGATTTTAAACTTGCTTTTCTCCTCCCCCAGGATTATTGAGCTGTGTCATCAGTTCCCTCATGGTATCACAGACCAGGTGATTCAAAATGATATGCCTCACATGGAAGCCCAGCAGCGAGCCATGGCAATCAACAGGCTGCTCTCGATGGTACGGTGATCTCAGCTTCCTCATGTTGCTTCAAGCAACCCAGAGCGTGGTAGCGCACCCTGTTTGGGCAGGGCTAGCAAACTAATCCTTTTGGGTTTAGCGGCATTTGCCATAATGTAGAATTACCATAGCTTACTTTCGGTTGCCGTAAGCACTGATGTTGCCAAAACCAATTAAAAGAAACCTCAACTTACTCTTTCCATTCTCTAATACACAGCTGCCATGAATGTGTATATCCATGTGGATTGCTAGGTGAGGAAGCTACCAGTGAGAAGCACCACATTTGGTTTTTTGACGTGTTTAGAGTTCTTTCGTCTTCTTTCCTCTGTGTATTACTTTGTAAAGCAGAATGTGATACAGTGGTCTGATGTAACAGTTGGGGGCAA